TATTCATCTTGTGTTTTCAATGTGTTACTGTGTATTAGTACTAATGTTTTAGGGTTACTGTGTATTAGTACTAATGTATAAGGGTTACTGTGTATTAGTACTAATGTTTTAGGGTTACTGTGTAGTAGTACTAATGTGTTAGGGTTACTGTGTAGTAGTACTAATGTGTTAGGGTTACTGTGTATTAGTACTAATGTGTTAGGGTTACTGTGTATTAGTACTAATGTGTTAGGGTTACTGTGTATTAGTACTAATGTTTTAGGGTTACTGTGTATTAGTACTAATGTATTAGGGTTACTGTGTATTAGTACTAATGTTTTAGGGTTACTGTGTATTAGTACATGTTCCACTGATGGTATTTGTACATTTTCCTGTCTGTTTTATATAAGTTGTATTTCTGACCTGAGTATTTTATTCTTGTTTTGTTCTCTCCCCCACATTTTTGTATTTTTATCTAAATATCTTCAGCCTCCTGTAAATCTCAGTACTCCTGCTGTAAAGTTATGTTTATTTCTGGATAAATAGGTTTATTTCAGATGTCTTTAATGGAACTTGTAGTTCTATAGATTCTGGCCTGATCTGCTGTTTTTTAATGTTAGCGTAGCTTTGGTTTGAATTTATTTTTGATGTGCTTCTATTATGTTTATTTTGTATTTATGTTTTATTTGGTTTTACTGTTTTATTTCTGTACAACATGTTTCTATTGCAAATGAGACAAAAACGTTTTAATGAGACACACCTGTATAAAAGAAAATTAAAAATGTTTGGCTTTTTCCCTCAGTTTTCACTCTTGTTTCACTACAAAACCACTACATGTCTGTTTTAAAGAGCAGTTACTGAAAAACACAGAACATAATGTGTTTAAGTTTTATGAAACAAACATACAAATAAAATAATTCATGCAAACTGGTGTCTGTGGTTTTACAAGAAACTAAAGATATGAAGACAAATTAAAACTCGTCAGTCATTCATTTACTGCAGAAACCTGACAAATCTGATTTGACACAACAAACAAGAGTTCTCAGAACAAATATTACAATAAGTTWTTGTCCTGATTTATGTGACTTTTGTTGTTACTCTTTGAGTTAAATCAGGTGTTCAGTTCTCTCCTGGTTTGTCCCTCACCTCTGCCCTTTGTGATGATTTCTCTATGTTTCCTGTGGATTTTGATTTAAAAACAAACACAGACGACCGTTCACAAAGTAACTTTATTATTTGAATCACATATTTCTATTTGCTAAATCATTTCCACAARAAACCCATCAGAAGGAACAGAGTTTGTAACAGTTGTTCCTCAGTAAACTCAGACGTCACAACGCTGCAGATTGTTCTTCCTTCATCAGTTTTCTGTCTCCTACATGTAAATAAACAAAGGAAATAGAGCTCCAGCTGATAGCAGAATATATTTAACAGTTTGTTTTCTCCTAAAACTCCTGCATGCTACAGATGTAACCATGAAACAGATTTATATAATCTGCTCAGAGACTGAAATAAACTGAAGAAGTTTAAAGACACAATAAT